AGAGTTATGCAAGGTATCCCAGAGAAGGGGAATGGGACGGGATCTCCTGAGTGGACTGGGAGCATGGGGGGAGGGGACACAGAGCAGGGGGGGGGGGAAGTGAGGGGAAGAAGAGGAGGGGAAAGGAGGACATGGGAGAGCAGGAAGGTTGAGTTGGGGGAAGAATAGAGGAGAGCAGGATGAGAGACACCATAATAGAGGGAGCCATTATAGGTTTGAGGAGAGATCTGGAACTAGGGAGATTTCCAGAGAGCTACAAGGATGACACCAACTGACAATCTAAGCAGTAGTGGAGAGGCTAGCTTAAATGCCCTTCCTAGATAATGAGATTGACAACTACCTTATATGCCATCCTAGCATCTTCATTCAGTGGCTGACGGAAGCAGAGGCAGACACCCACAGATAAACACTGAACTGAACTCCTGGAACCCAGTTGCAGAGAGGGAGGAGTAATGAATGACTGGGCTATGTGGATGAAACCCACAGAAGCAGCTGACCTGAACAAGGGGGAGCTCATGGACCCCAGACTGATGGCTGATTCAGACCTCCTGAATGGGGGTGTCAGTGAGGAGGCCTCAGCAATCTTTGGGGCCTCGGTTACTAGATCAGTCCTTATCCCTGGCATATGAATGGACTTTGGGAGCCTGGACACATGAGGGAGGGTCTAGGCCTTGCCCTGGATGATATGACAGACTTTGGAGATCCCCCGAGAAGGGCCTCACCCTCCCTGGAGAGTGAGGGTTGGGGGGAGGGTTTGGGAGGGTTGGGGGTGGGGGAGGAGGGGAGGGAGAGGGAGCTGGGATTGACATGTGAAACAAGCTTGTTTCTAATTTAAATTTAAAAAAAAGGAAAAATGTTCAAGGTTGCTTATGATAAATAAGGACTAATTAAAGCAACAGCAGCATATCATCAAATGCTAATAAACTTTTGACCACTTATTTTAGTAGCAAGTATGTGAAGAATCCAATTTTCTCGTTTTTTTTTTTGTTGGAGCATAAGTTGATATAAGCCCTAGAGAGAGCAATTTAGTAATATCAAAATAAAAAATGTAGATAGTCTCTGACCTAAAAATCCCATTCCTAGAGATGTATCCTACAGACGTACTCAGGCAAAAGAGTAGTGATATACATCTGAGGGTATTCACCGCAGTGTTGTTTGTGAAAGCAGAAGGCATTCATTGTTCAAGTGAGAAATTATTTTTGAAGCTGGTGCATTTCCATACAATTAAATCCTTCTGAAAAATAATGTGGCATTTAATAAGGTGTGTACTGAAGGGGAAAGTTCTCCCGAAGACCATTAGTGAGCACAGCAGGCTGGAAACGCAATCCTGCATCCGTCCTACGCTGTGCGCATGACTAGAAGCTGGAGACAAAGGCTGCCTCCACAGCTAAGGGTATGAAGCCGACACAGGTAAGCGTGCACCCGCACGCTCCATCGTGCTTTGTGGGTCACACGCGGGACTCGGGTTTACCTGTTTACGACTCAACGTTTCGATGGAAGGTTAAGCGGCAAAGCTGGCTTCGCGGAGGGGCACAGGTGCGTGGGTGGCGGGTAGCGGGTGCAGGAGTGAGCCTCGCGATCCAACAAGGGGGAGTGGTGTTTGCAGCACCGGAGATCAAAATTAAAGTGACGAGGAGGCAAGGAGAACCGGAGAACCGGGATGAGGCTGAACAGCGGCAGAGCTGCAGAGCGAGTGCTTGAAACATGGCTGAGGCAGGGGAGCTGCTAATGAGCTGAACTCGGGGCCTGTGCATCTATAAGTAATGGTCACAGCATACTAACGGGTCCTTCCCTACTCTGTCACAATTGGTAGGCCATAATGTCTACCCTGTTTATATTTAGTCATCAGTGGTGATGCTGCTATCGTTTTTTGAGGACATTGGGATGAAATATGGTAACTTGGAGCAGATCCTCAGACCAAAAGAGAGTATGGATAATCGTTAATTGTCTATACCGACGGCACATGTCCGAAGGGACGGAGCACCAGAGGCAGAAGCCAGGCAGTGTGCACACCAGGCTACCTGGTTTACACTCAGGTTCAAAGGAGGGTGTGGTTTACACTGACCTAGCAAAGCCACCGACATAATTAGACACCTGGAGAAAACACTTCTCGGTGGCAGTGGTAGGGACGGCAACGGCAGCAATAATAAACACTGATGCTATCCACCCCTCTTCACCGACAACATCCGCCCCTCACCCTGCTTAGGAGCCTATTTCAATTAGGAGTCCCCAGACCCTGACCAAGCTGCTATGGTAAGTGGGTAAGGGTCCCAGTAGCCGTCATGGTCAATGGTCACCTTACTGACTTTCAGAGCAGTTGGGTGATCCGAGCTGCACACATCCCTGTCTACAAGCAGGCCGTGCTGCCTTGGGAGGGCTTGGTGCTGCTCTGTTCAGCATTCATAGTGTGGGGTTGGTTTCACTCGTCCAACGAGAAATCAAAGCTACTTGGTCTTTTCAAGTTGTAAGAGGACCATGATAGACTCCATTTCCTAGTCATAAAAGCAGCCTGGAAATCAATGTCATTTAAACAGAATTGTTTCTTGGAGGGGCCGGGGGGGGGGCGGTGAGGGGATAGGAATGGGATGTGGGTAGGCGGGGGTGGTGTTTGTTGTTCATGGACCACGGCCCTCTGACATCTGAACCAGTGAACCCATTGTACCAAAGGTTAGGTTCAAGAAGAGTCTTCTAGGCTAGATGGCAGCTCAGATAGAGGCTGATTCAGCACTGCCATCCCCCCCCCAACACTGGTGACTCAGTTAGAGGTCCCCAGAGGCATCGGGCAGTGTCTTAGGACCCGTCGGGTTTCTTTGTTTGTTTTTTTGGGCTTATTTTTTGTTCTTGTTGTTCTTGTTTGCTTTCTTTTTTCCTATAGGAGAAAAGGTTGATGGCTCTGTGTGAAGAGATTATTCCATCATTCCTCCACCCCCAACCCCCACCCCCGCCTTCTTCACCAGAGGTGGGAACAAAGAATAGAGATGATTCTGCAATTTTGATCTCTACAACCTCATTTGAAATCATTCTCTGTGATTCAAGTTTTCTGGAAATGAAAAGGATAAATTGTGTGAACTTAGTTAAAGTTGGGAAGAAAAGTTGATTGGATGGCCTGTTGTCAAGGAAACCAATTCTCTCTCCCCCCCTCTCTCTCTCTCTCTCTCTCTCTCTCTCTCTCTCTCTCTCTCTCTCTCTCTCTCTCTGTGTGTGTGTGTGTGTACGTGTGTCCTTTATACTCTTCACGTGACATTTAAGAATAATTCTTAGGTACCCAAAGCTTCCACACTAAACACATATACAAAAAAAAAATTCTCCAAGAAAGTGATTTCTATTACTTAACATCAGGGAGAACCTTCTCTATCTCTGGTGGAGACAGCATCCCACTGGACCAGAAACATAGATGGCGACCACATTGGGGGTCAAGGCCATTGCAGACTGAGGTTTAAAAGGTAACAAGACACTAGAGAACGAAAGAGGGCCTGCAATCGGCCCCTTGGTAGTTTATCATCTACCGTGCTCAGAGCCGGAAGCTACACATGCAATGTTATGCTCTGGGTGAAGTCCCCCACTCGGGGGCCCCAGAGAAGAAGGAGAAGCTTGTTTTTTGAAGACAATGGTTGCCTCCCCACTCCATCAGCATCAAGCCTGGCCAAGGGACTTTGCTGCCTCATTCTAACCCTGGCTTGGCAGGAAGGATGCTGGCAAGCGTGTCCAGCGGTGTTCCTTGCTCTCTCAAGTCTCTGCTTTTCCCGCCAGAGCACCCTGCCCTCACGAGCCTGAGGGATGATGGGAAACATGAGAGGCAGAGCTGCACAGAGGAGCCTCTCCCCGACTGACACAGGAAGCCCAGAAAATCCTTCCAGCCAGGTGGCTCTTAGGCCCGCCAACCTCAGCCAGCTCTCGGATGAACTCGAAAGAGTAAGCTGTCTGTGTCACTGAGCTTGGGGGGTAGTGTGTTACCCAGCAGTCACAGACAACTACTACAGCAGCTTCACTTTTTACTTTCTCAAGGCCACAGAAGAAATTAGGAAATGGTAGACCATCCATGTCCACAAAGATCTCAAGCCAATACCTTTCCATAGCAGCTCTGAGGAAACACAGGTCCAGATCTTTGGGGCAGAAAGGTTTAAAGCACTTGAACTCATCAGAACAGGCAGAGCAGTCCCACAGAAACTGTGCACCTAGAAAAATGACTGCCAGCCTGGAGATCTAGGAGAAGCTATGCAAAGCTACCCAGAGCCGTGGAAACAGACTGGAAGCCGGGGGACCCCGGTGAGCACAGACCCACGCTGAGAAGCAAAAAGAGCAAGTCTTTCAGAACTTGAATACAGAAAACGATCTAAGCAAAGATTCAGCACAAACATCATGAGTCATAAAAGAGCTTACACGAGGGGCCGGAGAGAGAGCTCGGCAGTTCAGAGCATTTGCTGCTCTTGCAAAGGGCCTGGGTTCAGTTCCCAGCACCCACATGTTGGCTCACAACCATCTGTAACTCCAGTTCCAGGGGATCCAGTGCCCTCTTCTGGCCTCAATAAGCTCCTGCATGCACATGGTACAAATGCGCATGCACACAAGTTAAAAACAAATAAATCTCTTTTTAAAAAAAGAATGACAGCAAACAAAATAAAACCCATCAAAAATAAAGGGAAGGGCTATGTTACTTTTTGTGGTGTCGAACAAGGAGACCAGGTGTCCCACTGTATCCAGGACAGGCTTGGTCACACTGCCGTCATCTGACATTATTCACAGAACTTATTTCCAGTGCCAGGTTAGGTGACAATAACATCACTTTTGGTGGCACACCTTACCCACAGGATGGAACATGCAGGTTCAAATAAGAGACAGCTCTCTGTATGCATGTACTATAGTGTTCTTATCTATCCTCCTTCGGAGTCCTCAAAAAAGAATTCAAATGTTCAGGACACTCCTATTATTGTCATGACTTCCACATTGGTTCAACACGAGAAACCAATACATGTATAAGAGAATCTGAGTTTCTGCCTTACCCATACAGAGGCCCGTATCGCTCCCTGAGTTCCAATTGGCTCTCCCAAAAACCCTGCAAAAGAAAGGGGGGGAGCACAGGACCATGGTAAGAATAAAATTGAGCAAAATTTCAATGCTTCCAACTTACTCAGAAAAAAAACAAAACAAAAACCCCAGGACAGACAGCAAGAACACAATTACATAAACAATAAAAGAAGAATAACCATTATATTTTGTTGAATTACTACAGAATATTGGGTAAAGAAATGGCTTTTAAAAATATTGCTGAGTAAAACTCTCAGCCGCTCTATTTAATGGACAGAAGAGACCACACGCACTTAAGCTCTCTGTGCGTAATTGCTGCTCACACATCTGAAAACTATTTGGTTTTACATCTACAATATTCCTCTCAGATGTGGCTCACGTTCGCCAAGTCCCCTTCCATGGCCCTCATATGTGTAAACTTCTGAATCTACCCAAATTTTCACAAATTCCAAACTCACATGATCCAAGTTACATGTCAAACAACAAGTTTCCAAACCTAAGACCCTCAGCAAGGTTCTTCCTAGGCTGAAACTTTAGGGTACCGGAAGATGGGCATCGGGTAAAATTGGCGGAGGCCAGAACTTGCAAAGCCCGTGTGCTGCGGGGATGGGGCTGAAATGGATGCCGACGGGGAGCACAGGCACGCATCACGGGACATCACGTGGGCAGGCACTGAGACACGTGAGATGCGGCGGGAAGCGCGTGTTTGTGAAAACGTGCCTGTGTCGGGAAGGGCATGGGTGGAAAGAGCGGGATCTGAGCCATAGGGATGGAGGGTCCGAGAGCTGAGCGTTGGAGAAGGCACATGTCCTGAACGGAACCACGCCCTGTTTCCAGGCACTCCGCACTCCGCAGTGAAAGCCTGGGTTACAGCAAGGAAAGCCTAAGACGAGAACAGGACTAGAGTGTAAGTTCAGGGCCCCCCACAGGCAGAGAGCTACACTTGACGACAGAGTGCAGAGACAGGAGAAATCGTCCTCCCAGGGGTTAACCCCCCACTCGGTCATCCAGCCCCGAGTGGTCAGCCAGAAATCACACGCATGTAAGGAACACTAAGTGGCCTGAGCAAGTTGTGTCTATTCATTTTTATACATGAACTAAAGGCAGGGGACAATGGGAAATAATGGGGAGAGGAAAAGCAAAAAAATTATGTAATTCTATTTTAATTAAAAACACACACACACACACACACACACACACACACACACACACACACAAGTACCTCAGGTGGGTGCCCAGATTAGTACGCCTATGTACTAATAGACCTCTCTAATGATTTGACTTCCCTGCTTTAGAAAGAGCATGGCAGAGTTTACATTCACAATGAGAGGAGCTGCTGGGGACACTCTCCAGAGTCAGCCAGCCAGGGTTCTCCTGACAGGACAGCCGCCCCGCTGCCTCCGGAGGTTAACACCAAACACATTTTACTCCACCGGCTACATCTGATAGGTTCCCCCTGCCTTGTAACGTACGGGGATTTATTTTCTTTCGCCTTCCCATAGCATGGTTTGTTTGTTCTGTTCTGACACTTTTAAGTCTCTTCACACTTGCTTCAAGAGGGGTGTAGGGGGCCTGTCGGGGTGACTGTGGGCTTAGAAGCTGTGAGCCCAGCACCCCAGAGGGAGGGATGAGACGAGAGGGGTGTTTGAGAAGCGACCAGATGCAGGTCAGTCTCTGCCTAGGGCGTGGAGCAGTGGCCATGCAGGGGGAGGGGCGGGGGAGTCCCAGCATCCTCTGAGGGTCGCTATCAGGGTTGGCCCAAAATTAGCCCTTCCTGCCCTTGTATGGCAATCCACCTGCAGGATCTGGTGGCGCCTGCTGTTGGTCTGGAGGCAGTGTCCCCAACAAGTTAATCAGGCTTCTGAGAAAAACCAACGGCAGTAAAAAATAATAATAACCTTCAAAAATAGATACTGTGTCCCTATCTGCAAACGCCCTGGTCATCCCCGCTACCATGTCACACTCGTGAGCTGAAGGCCAGATGCTTAAAATATCTTCTCGCTGAACCAGCTTCCCCTCCCAACCACTTCCTTCTGCCTCCCCGCAGCCGCTGCCTCTGCTCTGCAGGCTCAGTCTTTTAACCGCTGTTTTCCTCTCTTCCCCTGAACCCTCTGAGTTTGGGAGTCCCTGTGGTCCTTTGGCCCTGCCGTTCTCTTCTGCGGACTGCCATTGCCTCCCTGCTGCCAGCCCTGACCCTTCAGTCTTGATGTTGGGCACAGCACGGATTCTGCAGCCCTGATCTCAACTCCTGTCCCTTGCAGGACAATCTTGCTCTTCAGTGCCAATCTTGTACTCAACGACAGTAGCCTGGAATGGTTCCTGGCCCGACCTTCAAGTCTATAAGTAAGCTAGCCCATGTGTCGCATGCAGCTGCGTCCTATAGCCTTCCCTCATTGGCTTTGGTCCCTCCAGGCTGCCGGGTTGACCGGTGCCACCATCCCCACATGGCTGCCTTCTTCTGTGCGCAATGCTCTCTCCCTGGTGTGTGTCCCTGTCTACAGCTCCTGCAGGACCCCCTTCCTCAGGAACTCCCCCACAACGACCCCTACTCGGTTGTTCTACCTGGAGCAGGACCACAGCTGCTATCTGCACTTCCCAATCCAGTACCTGACACATCCCAACTGGTGACACAAACCCTTGCTGGGTGGGTGGTGACCTTGAAAGTGTGAGTGTCTTCTACCTGTGCATCCTAGAACCTGGTATATTTAAATACTCAATAAATTGGCTTTGGGGTGGGTGAATGAATGGATGGATGAATGCATACTGATGAGACATAAGAGATGAATATCATAACCACAAAAGCTGGAGATGTAGATTCTTTGGTGGAGTGCTTGCCTAGCATGCACTGCGGGATCGGGGTGTGGCAGCACACACCTGTAATCCTAGCACTCAGGGGGTGCAGGTAAGAGGATCACAGCCATTACATAGCAAGTTTGAAGCCAGCCTCAAAAGGGAGGGAGAGAGGGAGGGAAAGGAAGGAAGGAAGGAAGGAAGGAAGGAAGGAAGGAAGGAAGGAAGGAAGCCCATTCCCATGGAGAAGGGCTCTTCCCATGATAGGCATTCTTTTTGTTGTTGTTGTTCAAGACAGGGTCTCTTATCTATCCTTGGCTGTCCTAGAACTCACTCTGTAGACCAGGCTGGCCTTGAATTCACAGAGATCCGCCTGCCTCTGCCTCCCAAGTGCTGGGATTAAAGGTATGCACCACCAACACCTGTTATATTTGCCACTCTATTCTCAGTCCACTAAGATTTAGTGTCACGGATGGCCATTGGAATTTACTAAGTATTTCTTGGCATCTGCTGAGATTGCATACATTCTTCTCCTTTGCTGTGTTAACATAGCAAGTTGCATTTGATTACTTTTCAAGGCCTATCCTCCTTGAATGAGCCCGCTTGCTCTTGATAAGTTATTCTTTAACATGCCGCACGTATTCTTCCTGCGAAGATCGCCGTGCCCCCTGAAGTGTAAACAGGAACAATGCCCCAATGGGAAGTCTTCTGCAAGATTCAGAGTCTCACCTGGCGGAAAAACATCAAGTTTCCAACAAAAGGAGAGGGCTTGGGGTGTCTGATGCCCAACTTCTCCAGTCTTGAGAATGCCGACGTGGAATACCTGGGTGGACAGAGAAGCAGACTTTTAGAGCCAAGAAACGAGTGCGCGTGTCCGTGTCATTGGCCCTGTTATGAAGCGGAACTTTTGAGTTCTCTTAGCTGGGCTGAGAGAAGTTCCCAGTGAACGCATCTAAGGGCAGGGAGCTAGTAAAGAGGACAGGAACTCAGGAGTGCCTCCCGATTGGGGGATGGGGAGGAGGGGGTCCCCAGGCCTTCAGGGGTCTGGAGGTACCTCAGAGGAGGCAGTCTAACACCTTCCTCCACTAGAACTCAGTCAGTTTCTCCACACACTCGCCTCAGTCCCTCAGTTCGTAAATCTATCATGAACCACAACTCAGAAGACAAAGCCAAAACTTCAGAGTGGCAGAGAATCAGCTCCCTGGTATCATTTTTCTGGGTCCAGGCCAAGCCCCTATTCACATATAACTCGCTGCTCATCACATTCCATGGCCATGGCCTCACTGAGAAAAAAAATAGTGATAGAGGCACCTCGGGACAAGGAGACCTCCTTACTCCCCACCTACAGCCTTTGTAAGACTGTTTCCCTGCCTAAACACATAAGGGAGGAAGATTTTCTCTGCCCCAAACCAGGAAGAGTGGCTCAAACGAGGCTGCACTACTTTTCAGTACAGCCGTCCAAACACTGGGATTATGGGGATATTTCAGTTTATGGGAACAGAGAGGTGACACAGTTAGAGTCGGAGTTGGCTTGGGCAAACCTACCATATGGCCCCGATCCCCACCCAGCCAGACGATCAGGTCAAAAGTTCAGTCGGTTCAGAAAAACTAATGAGTCAAACTGGGTGTTTAGCATCATGCAGAGATCAGCCAAATCCCAATTTAGGAACAGGGAAAAATAACAGAATAGCACTCCAGTCTGGCTTCTGATGAATACAAGAGCTCAAAACATTCTGCAGCTAGAAGGATGGGACATTTGCTTTATTCTCCAATCGTTCAGCAAACCCTCCACTATCCAGGGAAGGGGAGACACCTCTTAAGTGGGATTTACACGACACAGCATTGTACCTATAGCTAAAATAGCGACGGGGAAGAACCAGGGAGGGCACAACGGGGAGCAGGGGGCCCTCCCAGCATCTGAAAGGACTGCCCGTTTGAATGACTTCCCAGAGCATCACCGTGAAGTGCACATCATGAAGCACACGCTAGAGCCATGTGTGAATTACATGGATGAGCCACACCCACATTCCTGTTCGTTAGTGTGTGCACTAGGTCAGCAGCACTGTCTAGAAAACGTAGCCTTTCAAGCAACTGATGGTGTTTCAAATGCCTCTCCTTATCCTCAAATGGAGAGGTCAAGGGAGACTCACAGCTATTGAATACCTCCTTTAACACTCTCGAATCGGAGATTTTCCCATCAGTTTTTGCAAATTATTTTCTAAATATACTCTCTGATAGATAAAAAGAAATATGAAGATCTTGGGCCACATAATTACATCTTAATTTAGTAATTAGATGTCTTGATTGTCTAATTAAAGGACAAGAAGTCTATGCCTAATTACACATGCTAATTATTATGCAAGTCCACGCCTTCATTATGTAACTGCACTTAGAACACGGCCTGTGTGTCTCTGCACAAAATTCAGACATTTTCAAGCATATGGCACCAGCAGAGAGTGTCCTGTGCACAACCACAGATCTTGCTCACAGCCTGGACTCAGATGCAGAATGTGGGAGCCTTCGGTGGGAAGCCACCAGGTAAGGCCACCATCACTGGGTCCCTGAGCCCTGGAGGCAGAGCAGTCAGGAAGCGGAGCAGAAGCAGGAAGTGTGGCAGGGCTTGGAAATCTCAAGGTCTGCCCCCAAAGACCCAGCTCCTCCAGCAAGGCTCCAATTCCTAAAGGCTCCACCTCCTAAAGGCTCCACCTCCTAAAGGCTCCAATTCCTAAGTCTCCATCTCCTAAGTCTCCATCTCTTCAAGGCTCCAATACCTAAGTCTCCATCTCCTAAATCTCCATCTCCTAAGCCTCCATCCCCTAAAGGCTCCAATTCCTAATGCTCCACCTCCTAATGCTCCACCTTATAAGGCTCCATCTCCTAAAGGCTCCACCTCCTAAGGCTCCACCTCCTAATGCTCCACCTCCTAATGCTCCACCTCCTAAGGCTCCACCTCCTAAGGCTCCACCTCCTAATGCTCCACCTCCTAAGGCTCCACCTCCTAAGGCTCTACCTCCTAAGGGCTCCACCTCCTAAGGCTCCACCTCCTAAAGGCTCCACCTCCTAAAGGCTCCACCTCCTAAAGGCTCCACCTTCTAAAGGCTCCATTTCCTAAGACTCCACCTCCTAAGGTTCCACAAATGTCCAAAACAAAGAGTGGCTCCAACGGGCAATGAATGGTCACAATAAGCCTGTGAGGGACATTCCACATTCACATAATAATAAGATGGCCGTGAGAAGACAGACACACAACGAGGAAGCCAGATATCTATGAGGGCGGAGATCATTTCTGCCTTCCAGCTTCTAGAACTGGGAACCAATCAGTCCTCCATAGCACAGCCACGGGAAGCCAAAAACCAGGGTGCTCTCCCAAACATCCCAGGCAGTCCATGAAAATACATTAAATTTCCTTTTCTCCCTGTCACTTTCAGCACTGTCGTTGTAAAAGAAGGCTGTCTTTCATGTTAGGTTGTGTCATTAAATCCTGTATTATCCAACGAAAGTGCAGGTGGCCTGGGATGGGGCTGTGGCTATCGGGTCCTATGCAGCCGTTCTGTGATCACTGTGTTGGGATATTAGGACAGCTTTCCTTTGACAGGAATTAATGCAAATGTGGTCGCCACTACCATCCTGGACCTCTGTCCCTGTTTATAGTAAGGATGCTTAAGTCAGAAAGTGACAGCAGACATGCATACTGGTCCCACATGAAATTCCTTGGTTTTATGTTCACGTCTAAGGCAATCATTACATGCTACAGGATACGAATCCTGCGCTGCCACTGCTGAAGCTTGGGGTGTACCTTCTCAACATACACTGAACCAGATGCAGTGTTTCCACGATAAGGCTAAATTTCAAAGGCTACAAGTTTCCTGGTCTTTCATTTTCCTCAAAGCCAAGGCGCTCTCCTGATGGATTTTACACGCGACGATGGTTCGTTGTTTAGGCAAAGAAGCCACTTGAGGTAAACCTGGGGGTAGGGGTGGGGTTGTTGTCTGAGACAAGATCTCATATAGCCCAGACTAGCCACAACGTATGTGTGTTATATAGCTGAGCAAGGCTTAAAACTTCCCATCCTCTTGTTTCCGCCTCCTAACTGTTGAGATTGCAGGTGTGTGCGGGCATTATGCAGTGCCAGGGATCAAATTTTGTGTGTTCTGGGCAAGCTCCCCATAAACTGAGCTACATCCCCAGGCCTTGCAGAACGCCTGATGGGCTCGGGTCAAATGGACAGAGGTTTAGAATACCAGAAGCCAGTTAGAGGCCAGCCTGGCCTGCAGGCTTCCCTGACTCTGTGTCTCAGGCAGCCATGAGAGCGGCTTCCTCTTAATCTCCAGTCTGGTTCTGCCAGCCGTGTGGCTCATTCGTGCCACTCACTTGGAAAACAGTCACCTGCCACTTTGGCTGAATCTCCATTCTACTGCCTTCTGATTCTTTGCCTGGTTCCTCTCTCTACCCAGAGTAAGGAGGTGCAAGGACAGAAATAACTTAACTCTCGTTTTAGCACAGATGTTTCTGGTGGAAAAATTATGAAGTTTTGAGTTTGTGCGCAAGACTCTGATTTCTCCTTTCAGTACCTCAAGTCTGGCTCTCCCCCTTCCTCCCTCTCTCCCTCCCTCCCTTCCTTCTTCCCTTCCTCCCCGGGCTGGGGCGGAACCCAGGAACCCATCTACACTGTGCAAGTGGTCTCCCCCGGAATTACATCCCGATCCTCAGGTATAAATGGCTGACACGAGTTCTTCCCCCTAATAATGTAAAAGCACCACACACACACACACACACACACACACACACACACACACATACACACTCATGTGGCCGTTTCAGTCATTAGCCTGAAAGCAATTTTGTCACAAGACAACAGTTTTACATTTACACTGACATAAGAGAGCTATACAATCGTTGCTGTCATTGTCATTTATTTAGGTCACATTGTTTCCTATGTCCCAGGCACTGCAGCTTATATGCCATTTCATATACAACCTCCAACGACCGCTTGAACGGAGATGTCAGTATTATTTTCCTGTGGCTAGTTAGGAGTGCCAAGTTTGGGGAGATTTACTGGTGCACCCAAGGTACCAGAGCTGCTCAGTGACAGAATCAGAGTTCGAACCAGGTCAGGCTGTCTTCAAGCAGGTGTTGCTATCACCTACTCCGAGAACCTATTCAGTCCTCCAGGCTCTGGCTCTGTGGGCCAGCACCACAGGAGACTGCACAGACAGTGCTGGGAACAGAAGCAGGATGCTCAGAACATGCAAGCTTCATAAACACAGGTACTGGTGAGCTGACGGGTATTTGGGGGCTGCCTGTATGAAGCCAGCCTTTCATTTGTACTCCTAGCCTGTCCTGTGATTCTCCTGTTTTATTAATGTGTTTAGTGTGCATGCACGTGCACATATGTGCACACCTATGCGGGTCAGAAGAGGACTTGCAGGATTTGATTCTCTACCGCACCATGGGCTTTAGATACTGAACTCAGTCCATCGGGTTTGGCAGCAAGCTATTTTACCCACCCACTGGGCTACCCTGCCTAGCCCTTCGCTTGCTGTCCGAGTTCTTTCTGTCAGGTGCATTGATGTTTCTTTTCTCCTGGACCATCCCCACCACGGCGCAAATGGGCCCTGTGTCCTCCACCTTCCGGCAAGGGGGCAGACGCCTGGGTCCACCTGCCCCTCGCCTTTCTCCCCGCCTCTCGGCAGGGATTCTTGAGATGGAGATGTGCGGTCCCCTTCTGTCTCTTTAACCCCGTCTCTGTCTGTTCCAGCTGAGTTGCTGCCCCTGCAGAACGGGAAAGGGCTGCTCTTGTCGAGTGTATCTTATGTCAATCCC